ATTTTTACCTGGGACAGACAACTCCTTTTGGTCCGGAGACAGACACACGTGCTTGGTCCGGAGACGACACAAAGTCTTGGTACCTGGAGACGACACACTCCTTGTACCTGTAGACAGACACACGTCCTTGGCACCTGGGACGACACCGTGTTGGAACCCGGAGACAAACACCTCCTTGGTACCTGGAGACAGAAAAACCTTGGGGCCCGGGGGACAAAACAGTCCCTTGGACCTGGGGGAGCCGCGTCCTTGGACCTGAAGACGACACACGACTTTGAACCTGGAGACAGCACACGTCCTTGGCACCTGGAGACAGACACACGCCCCTTGGTACCTGGAGACAGACACACGTCGTTGGCACCTGGAGACAGACACACGTCCGTGGCACTGGAGACAGAAGCGTCCTTGGTACCTGGAGACAGACACACGTCCTTGGTACCTGAAGACAGACACATGTCCTTGGTAACTGGAGGCACACACACGTCCTTGGTACCTGGAGACAGACCCACGTCCTTGGCAGCTGGAGACAGACACACGTCCTTGGTATCTGGAGACAGAAGCATCCTTGGTACCTGGAAAAAAGACAAAACGCCCTTGGTACCTGGAGACAGACCACGTCCATGGTTCCTGGATCAGATACGCGTCCTTGAACTGGAGACAGACACACGTCCAAGGTTCCTGGATAAGATACGCGTCCTTGGTACCTGGAGACACACACAGTCCTTGGTACCTCGAGAGGCCCCACAACCTTGATACCTTGAGACAGGCACCCGTCCTTGGTACCTGGGACAACACACATCCTTGGCACTTGGAGACAGACACACGTCCTTGGTACCTGAAAAGAAAGACACTCGTCCTTGGTAACCTGGAGACAGACAACCCCCTCCTTTTTACATGGAGATACACATACACATCCTTGGTACATGGATACGGGCCCTATGTACTTGGTACCCGGATAGAGAAAACACGTCCCCTAGTAAACCCAGATACAGACACACGACTTTGGTACCTGGATACGGACACACGTCCTTGGGGCCTTTGGGGACTGATACACGTCCTTGGATTGATTAATGGAGTGATGATGAATTGATTTATGGATTGACTGCTGAAACTGATCGATGGATTGCTTGATTGATTGATGGATTGACTGGTGGATTTTATTGATGATTGAATGGTGGATTGATTGATGGTTTAATTGATTGATTTGTTTGATTGATTTTTTATTGATGGGATTGATGGATGATTGATTGGTGGATTAATTGATGAATTAATTGGTGATTGATTGGCTGGATTGATGGTGGATTGATATGTTGAATTGACTGGTGGATAGATTGATGTTTAATTTGATTGATTGTTTGATGATTTTATTGATGGAGTGATTGATGGATAATTGATTGGTGGATTGATTGGGGATTAATGGATGGATTGATTGATGGATAGTTTGTGGATTAATGATGAATTAATTGGTGGATTGATTGGTGGATTGATGTGATAATTTAATCTTTCTGGTATGTTTTAGATGTTAAGAGTGAGTGGAGCAAGTGACTTTAAATGATTTTGACGTGCTGTTGGAGTGGAGCAAGGGGAACCCGGGAAACCGGCTAGCCGGATTTTCTAGTTCTGGGGTGGGAAGGTGCAGTGCCTCGCCTCTGCAGGATGGATGAGGATGTTACAGTTCTGGAGGTGGGAAGTACAGTACCTTCACTCTGAAGGATGAGTGAGGATGTTACAGTCCTGGAGGTGAGAAGTACAGTACCTGCACTCTGAAGGATGAGTGAGGATGTTACAGTCCTGAGGTGGGAAGTACAGTACCTGCACTCTGAAGGATGAGTGAGGATGTTAAGTCCTGAGTGGGAAGTACAGTACCTGCACTCTGAAGGATGAGTGAAGATGTAACAGTTCTGGAGGTGGGAAGTACAGTACATGCACTCTGAAAGATGAGTGAGGATGTTACAGTCCTGGAGGTGGGAAGTACAGTACCTGCACTCTGAAGGATGAGTGAGGATGTTACAGTCCTGGAGGTGGGAAGTACAGTACCTGCACTCTGAAGGATGAGTGAGGATGTTACAGTCCTGGAGGTGGGCAGTACAGTACCTGCACTCTGAAGGATGAGTGAGGATGTTACAGTCCTGGAGGTGGGAAGTATACAGTACCTGCACTCTGAAGGATGAGTGAGGATGTTACAGTCCTGGAGGTGGGAAGTACAGTACCTGCACTCTGAAGGATGAGTGAGGATGTTACAGTCTAGGTGGGAAGTACAGTACCTGCACTCTGAAGGATGAGTGAGGATGTTACAGTCCTGAGGTGGGAAGTACAGTACCTGCACTCTGAAGGATGAGTGAGGATGTTAAGTCCTGGAGGTGGGAAGTACAGTACCTGCACTCTGAAGGATGAGTGAGGATGTGTACAGTCCTGGAGGTGGGAAGTACAGTACCTGCACTCTGAAGGATGAGGTGAGGATGTTACAGTCCTGGAGGTGGGAAGTACAGTACCTGCACTCTGAAGGATGAGTGAGGATGTTACAGTCCTGGAGGTGGGAAGTACAGTACCTGCACTCTGAAGGATGAGTGAGGATGTTACAGTCCTGGAGGTGGGAAGTACAGTACCTGCACTCTGAAGGATGAGTGAGGATGTTACAGTCTGGAGGTGGGAAGTACAGTACCTGCACTCTGAAGGATGAGTGAGGATGTTACAGTCCTGGAGGTGGGAAGTACAGTACCTGCACTCTGAAGGATGAGTGAGGATGTTACAGTTCTGTAGGTGGGAAGTACAGTACCTGCACTCTGAAGGATGAGTGAGGATGTTACAGTCCTGTAGGTGGGAAGTACAGTACCCACACTCTGAAGGATGGGTGGGGATGTTACAGTCCTGTAGGTGGGAAGTACAGTACCCACACTCTGAAGGATGAGGGTGAGGATGTTACAGTCCTGTAGGTGGGAAGTACAGTACCCACACTCTGAAGGATGGGTGGGGATGTTACAGTCCTGTAGGTGGGAAGTACAGTACCTGCACTCTGAAGGATGAGTGAGGATGTTACAGTCCTGGAGGTGGGAAGTACAGTACCTGCACTCTGAAGGATGAGTGAGGATGTTACAGTCTGGAGGTGGGGAAATACAGTAAATGCACTCTGAAGGATGAGTGAGGATGTTACAGTTTGTAGGTGGGAAGTACAGTACCGCACTCTGAAGGATGAGTGAGGATGTTACAGTCCTGGAGGTGGGAAGTACAGTACCTGCACTCTGAAGGATGAGTGAGGATGTTACAGTCCTGTAGGTGGGAAGTACAGTACCTGCCCCTCGAAGGATGGTGAGGAGTTTTACAGTCCTTAGGTGGGAAGTACAGTACCCACACTCTGAAGGTGGGTGGGGATTTACAGTCCTTAGGTGGGAAGTACGTACCCCACTCGAAGGGATGGGTGGGGTGTTCAGTCCCGTAGGTGGGAAGACAGTACCCACATCTGAAGGATGGGTGGGGTTTTACAGTCCTGTAGGTGGGAAAATAAGTACCTGCACTCTGAAGGATGAGTGAGGATGTTACGTCCCCCGGGGTGGGAAAATACGTACCCGCATCTGAAGGATGAGTGAGGATGTTAAGTCCCGTAGGTGGGAGTACAGTACCTGCACTTGAAGGGTGGTGAGGAGTTACAGTCTGTAGGTGGGAAGTACAGTACCCCCCCTCTGAAGGATGGGTGGGGTTTTCTTTCCTGAGGGGGGAAAAGTCAGTCCCCAACTCTAAAGGGATGGGTGGGGATGTTACAGCCCTGTGGTGGGAGTACAGACCCACACTCTGAAGGATGGGTGGGGATGTTACAGTCCTGTAGGTGGGAAGTACAGTACCCACACTCTGAAGGATGGGTGGGGATGTTACAGTCCTGTAGGTGGGAAGTACAGTACCCACACTCTGAGGGATGAGTGAGGATGTTACAGCCCTGTAGGTGGGAAGTACAGTACCCACACTCTGAAGGATGGGTGGGGATGTTACAGTTTAAAGTGGGATCTGAACTGTGATATTGGCGTCCTTCTGGTAAGAGAGTGATTGAAAGAATAACAGTGAAAGTGTTTTTTTATTTGGTGGTTACCCTAGCTTGGTGGGAGGCGGCCTGTTTCTACCTATTGTCTCATTTAAATTTGTGGATGCAGGGGTCGAGATAGCCCCTGGCCCCGCCTCTACTGATTGCTACTAGGTCTCTCCTCCTGTTTCCCTGAGTTTATCATACCTTTCTTAAAATATGTATGGTTTTAGAATGGTTGTGTATGTGTGTGTTGTATTAATTTTTTATATATAGTGTGTGTGTGTGTGTGTGTGGTGTGTTGTGTGGGTTTGTGGTGTGT